TTAGTGAAAATAATATGGACTATGAAAAGAAAGTGATGAGGGTACAACTAAAAATTAGGGATTTCAACTGGATTAGGCTCATGTCAGTTGCAACATGAGCTGTGTAAAATAGAAATATTTCAACCTTGTATTTTTTTTGCTTTCTTTTTAATTGAGGTAAAATCCACATAACATCAAGTTAACTCTTCTCAAGTATACAATTCACTGGCATTTAGAACATTCACAATGTTGTCCCATCTTCTCTATCTAGTTCTAAAACATTTTATTATCCACAGAGGGGTCCCCATACCCTCGAAGCAGGGTATCATGCTTATCTCCCACCAGCCCCTTGCAATTACTAATCTGCTTTCTTCCTCTATGGGTTTACCTATTCTAGATATTTCCATAAATGGAATCAAGAAGATGTAATGTTTTTGTGTCTGGCTTCTTTCACTTAGCATAATGTTTTTAAGGTTCATCCTTATCCACATCGTAGCCTGCATCAGTACTTCATTACTTTTTATGGCTGAATAATATTCCACTGTATAGATATACCTCATTTTGTCTATCCATTCATCTGTTAATGGACATTTAACTTATTTCTACCTTTTATATATATTGCCATGAATATATGCGTACAAATACTTATTTGAAAACCTGTTTTCATTTCTTTTGGGTATATAGCTGGGAGTGGAATTGATGGATGATATGCTAATTCTATGTTTAAGCTTTTGAGGAACTAGGTGTTTCATTTTTCTAAAAATTCATTTTCAAAACTTATGTTGTAATTCACAAGTCACTTTCATATATTTTATCTCACTTCATCATCATAAAGATCAAAGTTCAAATATAGTTTTTCCTATCTTATAGATGTAGAAATTAAGTCTTAAATCTTCATAATTTGAGTAATATACACAGTATTGTTCAAAAGTTTCAGCAAGAATATTTCTAAAGTTCACTCTAACTCTATAATTCTATTATTCTAAAGTTCTAGGGAAACTTTAAGACATATCTAGCTGTCCCCTTCTTTTCAGTGTGCAAAGTAGCATCTCCAAGGTGTCCAGTCATGCCTCCATCAACCCATCTCCTGCTGTTGTTTCTTATAATGTTGAAAAGAAAGACAACTGCAGTATTTCTTAGGTCACCAATGCCTGTCTGGTCCACTTTTGGAGACCTTTCCACTTTGTGAATCCTGTTCACTCCTGCCATGCTTTTTTTTTTTTTTTTTTTGGTTTAATCTCAATCCTATAAATCACGATTAAAATTTATGATTGAATTAGATGATGGGACAATGAAGGAGGTGGGCAGGCTTAGATTATCCAAATGATAAGAACTAGGAATGGAAAAATCAGTGTAAAACTAAAATGTATAAACTTCTCTTTTGAGACGGATTTGTTTGTGAGTACTGGACTTGTGAGTACTGAGAGGGTGGGGATCTAACATGTGTGGCACAAGAACGTGAATGAATGGAAAATGTGAAGGAACACAGGACAGATAATTCCTATAGCTGGCATGGTTTCTGTATTTCTCTGTTTTTTACTCAAGTTATTTTCTGCTCCAACTTGATTTTTGGTCCATCTCCCTGCTAAACACTTCACATTTCAGTTCCCCTCTGAGCCTTTAGAGGAGATTAAAAGTAGCAGTTAAAACTGGTTATGCCCAATAGTCAAGGCAAATTTTGTTTACAAGATGCTCCCTGTTACAGTGTTTGCACTGCCTAAGTAACAGGCAATAAAATCTATCAGCTGGAAAGCACCCCTTGTCGTAAATGGACAGACTATTTTAATCAGTACCTTCCACTGAACAGCCTTTCAAGTGCAGTCCAATTTTAATATTAAGAAAGCTATCTGAAACCTTCAGATACAACCAATCTGTAAGTATTTATTTACTTGGTGATCATGGACTCAGAACTCAGCTAGGCTTCATAATGGATACAAAAATAGTATTAAAATTCCGTGCTTCTGGGAACATAATGTCTATTTATGGGCACAAACTAACCCAAATTTTTTAAATGGGAAAAGATTCTTTTATGGTTCTGCTTATAAATATAATAAGAGATCAAAATTGGAGGAAATTATTTGTGCCTAGATACTCAAATACAGTTTCAAGGGAGAACTGGATCTCGAATTGAGCCTCAAAGAATTTTGAAAATGTGAAGTTATAGGGGAGATGGTAAAGACAATGCAGATATCAGGGAAAGAGTTGGCTGGTATTCATGGAAATTAACAATCGGGAAAAAAAATGGATGGGAATGTAGGAAGCAAGTTTAAAGAAGGCCTTGGCAAGCTATACAGAGAGTTTAACTTGTTGAGGAAGTCATCGTAGCTTGATGAACTGATAATAAAATGAGATTGATTTCACATATACTAGTGATGGACACAGCTACAATATTGTTCAGAGAGTTAACCAGAGAGCATGGAGAGTATAACTTGTTGTCTGAGAGCAAAGAGATGAGAACCTAAATGAGGCAGTGGGAATGGAGGGGAATTGAAAGGAAAGGAAAGGTGTAGTTGACGTTCAATATAAATGATACTCTCCTTAGCTCTTTCCTGTTTTTAACCTCATTAACTGGTTTGTATGAGGATACATATTTGCATATTAAAGATGAAGAAATTGAGCATCTTTATGATTTGCACAAGTAGGATGTAGAAGTGAGATTTTTACCCTAATCTGTTTTACTCCAAGTCATACGCTATTTCCTTTTACTCTTTCTACAGCTTACAGAGGGACAAAACATAAAATGAGGCTTTCACACTATGATATCCCAGTGTTTCTCATAATAAATTGCAACCTCCTATCTAACCCAGGTGGGTACCATCTGTCATGTGTGTGTATCACAAACAATAGTCATAATTCAGTTAACATAATTGCATGTTTACTTTGAAATTGATGGTATTCTATACAATCTTACTTTCCCTCTTAACAGGCTGTAGTGTGCTCAACCTCCTATTGTTGCCATCTTGCTTTTGTTACCTAGGGATAGGAGCCCCATTTTTTCACCAGGTGGAAAGCATACCAATGCTCCCAGTGCCCTCAGTTCCTCTCCCAGCTCTCCTGAGTTTGATGGCCCTAAATCGCTCTCAAATTTCAAATGGTTTTAGTCAGTTCTCAAAATCCAGACAATAAGCAAAATCTTTTCTGGTTTTGATATAGGAAGAGATTTTTATTTCTTTGATATTACCATCTTCTTGCTCTCTTTTATCAAATCTTTTGTTTCTATCCAGTGTCTTCTCTCCTCCATTTCAATATCTCCTTTCTATTTTCTTTCCATTTAGTCCTCTAAAAATACTTCTTTCAAGTCAGCCTAACTCCTGACTCTCTCTGCATATTATTGGGCTACAGTTTTATAACAGTGTCAGTGACTTTTTAAAGGCCTCTCTTCTCAGAAAACTCATATACACTTGCCTTTTTCTTTAACAACTTAAAATATCTCTTTGAAGGAAAGATGGTGTACAAATGTCAAATGCTTTCCTATGTAGTAATTTGAGATTAAATAAGAAAAAAAAGCCTCTAGCAGTATTGAACATCATTTGAAAAAAAACACGTTTAACTAGTTCAAGCAATTTCAGTTTTCTTTAATATTTTTCTCCTTGAGATCTTTTCTCCTCGTATTAAACTATTCTTATAGACTCTGGCAATGAGAAGAAAAGGAAGATGTTAAGTGCTATAGCCAATAGGATCTCCCCATTGTAGAAATGATTTTTGCTTTAAAGAATCAATACCAAAAATGTTCTTGCAAAAACCCTATGTTTTAGCTGTCACAAAAGATGGTTTTTCTCCATTTTGCATTCTATTCAGATTTTTTCAATGCTGTTCTAGTTGAAAGCTTGATAGTCTAATAAAGTTGCTTGTCACGTAAAATCTGAGTATATAACTACAGAAAAACTAATTTTGTAGAAAAACATTCTGAAAAGGCATACATTATTTAAATGAACAGTGAAATACTATAAGAAATCATGCCTTTTTATTGGAAATTTAAATAATATCTTGTATATTTTGAAGTTTGGAGTTCATTATCTATAAGATTATCAGTACTTTCTTTCAGATTATAATAACATTGGAATAAGTTATAGTCACAGAATCTCAAGATGCAGAAGCCCATTAAAATCGAGATATAAAACAATTTTTCACAAATGCATTTCAGTGTAATTTTGGGAGACACCATTAGTCAGAGTAACACCATTGGGGCGACTTATCAACTTAATAAAAATCATCAGAAAAATTTAGGGAATTATGCCAAATAGAAATAAAGGAATGTTGTGTCTAAATTATTTGGGGCAATATTGCTCTTTTTAGGACTTAAGGGCATTCCAAGCCATTTTCACCCATTGTGCAGCCTCGTCTGTTTCCTTCCAGCTAGGCAGTTTTGCACACACTGTTTCTTCTGCAGGAAATGTTTTTAGTTTGATTCTTAATATTGGTTCGAGTGTCTGCTACTTCTTCCTCAAAGATGCTCTCACTCACTCTCCAGATTAATTATTATTCGTCAATAGCTTTGTGCTTTGCTAGACTATTAAACCCATGAGGACCAAGAGCAAGTCAGCTTTTAGTGTCACTGGCACACAGGACATTTTCAATAACTTAGGATACAACCAGCACTTTATTATTGAGTGAATTTAAGATACAACTAACATTTTATTATTATTATCATTATTTGGCTTCATCTTGTCCCTATAATTATTCATAAGGGGAAGGCTATTGATATCAATGCTCCATTTTACCAATCTGTCTTAAGTATAGGGATCATTTTGTACGTGGCATCTGAAGGGAGTAGAAGGAGGTGTCTTCATAGGTACCTTTCCCACGACCATCTTAATGTTCGTAAGTTTTGACAGCACAATAAAATGTGTTATATTTTTAAAGACAGTTCAAGTATAGAATATTGAATATAGGTGTAATTCAATTAATTTATGTAGACCAATTTGTTTTGTCATCACCTAAGGGACATTCTAGATTGATTAATTTAATTTGTTTTTGTTACATTTTCCCATACAACAAACCTGCATTTTTCCTTTCCCAGCGCATACCTGTGTCTTTCTCGTTAGAATATGAGACCAGTGAGATTTTGTACTCTTGTCTGTCATAATCACCAGGGCCTACCATGAGCTGAACAAAGCAGGGGCTCTATAATTGCAGAAACAATGAATAAATTTTATTTCGTACAAAACAGAGGGAATGGTTCAAAAAGGCCTGCTGGGAAAACTATATATGTAGAAGTTTCCATTTAGATCCAACATCAGGTAGCCATGCCTACAAAAGGAGAAACCAAGGATATATTGAAGTGATTCTATTATGGAAGAAATGGCATTAGGTTATTCTGTACCCTAGCCAAAACTTGAAAGAATTTGTACTTTAAGGGTCTAGGAGCCTCCCTAGCAGAGGCTCAATGTAGAGCAGATTACCCATTTGTTCTATCATTCAACAATTCTTTACTGACCATTCATCATTAGTCAGGTGTGGTTCTAGTTGGGGTTCATTATTGCTGTTAAAAATCAGGTTGATCAAATATTCAATGCACAAGTCACTAAATACTACAAATTATACTAAATACTATAAATTATAGTCATGAGCAACCCACATAACTTCCAAAACAATACCGAATCGATGCTGTTTTGGGTTGAATTGCTTATTTGGCCTGACCTTTGCTGTTCTGTCAAAGATGATATGAAAGCTATACCTTGAGGCTTGGAGGCTTTCTCTTATTTTGCTATTTCCAGAGCCAAATACAAAGCTTGCCACACAAAGGGAACTCAGTAAATGTGACTTATAAGGAATAAATTTTTCTAGCCCAGCTCAGGTAACCAATTCTCTGCGTGAACTTGAAGAAATTATATCACTTCCTAGCCTCCGTTTCTCCATCTAACAGGTGAGTATATGTCTGTTTCATAGTGTTTTTTCTTTGCATTTTAGAGGAATAAATCAACTAAATAATGGAAGTCACTTAGTACAATTCCTGAAGCATAGTAAGCACACAGACAGAATCAACTATCATTTTATTAGAAATAATTTTATTACTACTTTCATAATTATTAATAGCACTTATATCAAAGGATGATTTTGAAGATAACATTAAACTGTGAAAGTGGCTCTTTTTTAACTCTAAATAATGGTTAATTATTCTTAGGCAGGTTGACTCATGAATCACTGTTCAGAACCCTGGTTTTGGGACATGGTGTTGGTACTCTAAAGGATATCACTCAGTTGAATTCTTCCCATGTAACCTAAAACATCACAGGTAGTAAGTGAGGCCATTGAATAGGCTTATTACTTCTGTGAGATGACTAAGAAACCATTTGATAGCTGCCACCTATGATTGACATGGCAGCAAATACAACCCACCATGATGATTGCCTCACAGTCATTTCCCAGTTGATATATGTCGTCTAATTTTAACTTTTATAGTAAAAAATTTAATCTCACATTTTATCAATGTTTTTTCAACTGCAAAAAAAGGACAGACAAGAGATAGCAGATGACATCTTTTATCATTAATAATAGAGGAGAAATAATGTTGGCTACATGTTATTTGTATAAGTACTCATGCACCTTTTACATAAAATTTTGTCAGGATGGGGCTTAGTTCAATTACAACTTCATAAAATGTACAAAATTAGTAGTAACGACATTTTATACGCTACTTAATGTGTGCTGGGCACACTATAAATCATTTAAACTGTATTATATTGTTAACCATTTAGACATTAGTTAGTATATATTATCTATGTTTTACAGATGAGAAAACTAAGAACCAGGAAAATTAAAAAGAAAATTCCTCAAGATCAAATACATGGTTAGTAAATGGTGGATATGATATCAAAAAACCAGTTATCAGTGATATTCAAATATCAGACCTTAACTATGGCCCTGCATTACCGCAAAGAATAAATATGGCTAAATATATGCTACTAAAAGACTATAAGTAATCGTTGAGATTTTTTTCCCTTTTAAGAAACATTATTCCTAAAAATCTTGAGATACATTAGCCTGTAAAATAGCTACATAATTAACATATACGCTCTAATTTGTGAATTTACTGATTTGTCAGATTTCTCTTTTTTTTCAATATATTTCAGTCTTTTATTGTCAAACTTTCTAACAAGATTAAACTCATGAAAACAGTACGACAGTTCTGACAGGCATCTGTTTACGTCTCAGTTTGTTTCCTTGTTCTGATTCACTGGTCTGAAGAATTCTGGATTTAAGTAGCAAAAGGGGCAAATGTGAACAGCACACTAAGCTCCCCATCTCATTAGAACTCTTATTGTTACATACACTCTATGGTGTTTTCAGGGTGTAAATGAAATTATTCCACAATCACTGCCTTTTAAGGCTCATAATTGGGAAGAATGATTGTTCTTGCATGTTGAACGTACCCAAGGGAAGATGAGCAATAAATGAGTTATCAGTAGTGCACAAGATTATCTCATTCATTAGGACAATGAAATAAAATAGAGAAAAACAAAATTAGCTGATGGAGAAGAAAGGGCAGTATAGATTATGAAAAACTCTGTATAAATAAAAATACTCACTTTTGTAAATTCTGAAGCTCCTGACAGGTAAATTCATCTTTTCCACCATCAGTATTTTACATATTTCCAACAGAGTGATACGCTTTGATTAAAAGGATAAAAATAACTGAATTCAATGTTAAATGTTTTTCATTCAACTTTTAAGGGAAAAAATGCCATCAATATTGACTTGCACCATGAAATCTTACATAAATAACATTGGTGGGATGTCCCAGAATTAGAGCGCACCCACCATCACCTGCATTTTCTTTCTTTTGTTTTTAAGGAAGACTAGCCCTCAGCTAACATCTGCTGCCAATCCTCCTCTTTTTGCTGAGGAAGACTGGCCCTGAGCTAACATCTATGTCCACCTTCCTCTATTTTATATGTGGGAGGCCTGCCACAGCATGGTTTGCCAACTGGTGCGGAGTTCCACAGCCGGGATCTGAACTGGTGAACCCCTGGCACCCGAAGCAGAACATACGAACTTAATTCCTGCAGCACTGGGCCGGCCCCTGCATTTTCTATAAGTGGGTTCTATGTCATGAAAGAGTAAAGACTCAATTATTTTTACCCTATTATATTTATAGAATTTAAAAGCTGGAAAAATTCAAAAGCAGAAAACTGATGTTCTATGAGATAAGATGACTTGCTTAAGTTAATTGAGACAATATTTCTTCTTAAATTCAAGTCTTCTACTTCTTATGTTAAGATTTCCCAAAGGGTGACCCACAAAAAATTGTCATGCCAAGTTCTCTAAGAAGAAAAGTTTCTGTGGAACTATAAATAAGGGCAAGTGTTTTAATTCACAACTCTCATTTGAAATTACCATGCACTATATATACTTATTAACTATATGGATTAACTATGTTTAGAGGGTAAGATGTTCCCAGTGTAAATATACAAAAATTTAAAAACAGTAAATTTCTCCCTTTTACTCTCAACTCCGTCTACTAGGTTATTGACTGTCCCCTACATGCCCAGTCACAGGTAATACTGTTGTTAGTTTCTTAGGTATTCTCCCAGAATGCCTTTATATAAAAGCAAATAAGAATAAATTTTTTATTATAACCTTTAGACAATTGGTGGCACACAAATCAAGTATTATGCACTTTTCCTTTTTTTCCACAAAACAGTAAATATGATAGATTATTCTATTTCAATACACAAAGAGCTTCCTCATCCTTTTATACACCTATGTACTCTATCATAGAAGTACTGGGCATCTATGCTATTTCCAATCTTTTGTTAACACATACAATGGACCATAAATAACTTTGTACACTTCATCATTTGATGTATGTGTACATAATAGTGCATGCATGTGTCTAGAATAAATGTCTAGAAGTGGAATATCTGGGTTAAATGTATATGCATTTACGATTCTTATCATCCATAGAAGTTTTACTAATAATGTATGACAGTATCTCTTTCTTCACCTCTTTCTTCACAGGTACAGAATTAACACAGTTTAGGATTTTCTAATCATGTTACTTTTTTAAAAGTGATATTTGAGCACTCTTTCAATATGTTCTTCTCTTAGAATTAAATTTAAGAAACTTGCAATATGTTTAAGAGTCACTTTTCTCTCCTTCTCTGTGAACTTCCTAGTCAGAGGTTACGCTTATTTTCCATTGACTTATTGATCATTTTGTTATAAGTTTGTAGGAGCTTTTTACATATTAGAGAGAAAAGCACTTTGTAATGAGGGTAATTGAGACTACTTTTCCCAGTTTGTCATTATGCTGTGAACTTGCTTACAAATTTTTGTTATGCAAACTTTATTTAATGTGGTCATACTTATTATTTTAATGGATGCTGGACTTAGAAACACAATTAGAAAGGGCATTCTTATTAGATTGAATCTTTGATTTATTTGTTATTTGCCTTGGCCTATAGTGTGAGCCATACATTAATCATAATTTTTGTCCAGATGTCTATCCATTTGTGAGAGCACAGTATAATAAATAGCTCATATTTTCCTTCTGATCTGAGATGCCATGTTAATCATATGCCAAATTGTCTTGTCTGATTCGGTCTATTCATGGTCTTTATTTTGTTCACTGACTTCTCTGTAAGCTGATACGTCAGTACTACACTTATTTAAATATTAGAAATTTATATAAAACATTGATGAAGGAAATTGAGGAAGACACAAATAAATGGAAAGATATCCACATTTATTGAATAGAAGAATTAATATTCTTAAAATATTACCCAAAGGCCAAACTACTCAAAGTGATATACAAATTAAATGCAATCCCTGTCAAAATTCCAATGGCATTTTTCACAAAAATAGAAAAAAAATCCTAAAATTCATATGAAACCACAAAGGACCCCAAATAGCCAAACAATCTTGAGCAAAAGGAACAAAGCTGGAGGCATCACACTACCAGATTTCAAAGTATACTACGAAGCTATAAAAATCAGAACAGATGATATTGGCATAAAAAGAGACACATAGACCAGTGAACAGAACAGAGAGCCCAGAAATAAATACATTCAATTGATCTTTGACAAAGATGCCAAGAATACGCAAAGGGGAAAGAATATTGTCTTCAACAAATGGTACTGGGAAAACTAGATATCTGTATGCAGAAGAATGAAATTGGATCCTTTTCTCACACCATATACGAAATCAACTCAAAATGAATTACTTAAATATAAGACCTGAAACTGTAAAACTACTAGAAGAAAATATAGGGGAACAGCTTCCTGATATTCATCTGGGCAATGAATTTTTGGATATGATCCCAAAAGCACAGGCAGCAAAAGCAAAAGTAAACAAATGGGATTGTACCAAATTAAAAGCCTTCTGCACTGCAAAGGAAACAATCACAGTAAAGTGGCAATCTATGGAATGGGAGAAAATATTTGCAAACAATTTACCTGATAAGTGATTAATATCCAAAATATATAAGGAACCAAAATAATTCAACAGCAAAGAAACAAATAACCTAATGAAAAAAATGAGCAAATGACCTAAGTAGACGTTTCTTGAAAAGACATACAAATGGCTAACAAGTACATGACAAAAATACTCAACATCACTAATTATCAGGGAAATGCAAATTGAAACCACAATAAGACATTGCTTCACACCTGTTAGAGTTGGTATCATCAAAAAGACAAGAAATACGTGTTGGTGAGGATGTGGAGAAAATGGAGCCCTTGTATACTGTTGGTAAGAACGTAAATTGGCACAGTCATTATGGAAACAGTACGGAGATTACTCAAAAATTAAAAATATAAATACTATCTGATCCAATAATCCCACTTCTGGGTATATATCCAAAAGAAGTGAAGTCAGTAGCTCAAAGGGATATCTGTACTCCCATGTTCATAGCAGTATTATTCACTCTAGCCAAGATATGGAATCAACCTAACTGTCCATTGACGAATGAATGAATAAAGAAAATGTGGTATGTATATGTGATGGAATACTATTCAGCCACAAAGTAGAAGGAAATCCTACCATTTGTGATAACATGGATGAACCTAGAGGACTTTACGCTAAGTGAATAAGCCAGACACAGAAAGTCAAATACTGTATGATTTCACTTATATGTGGAACCTAAGTCACTCATAGAAACAAAGCAGAATGGTGGTTGCTAGGGCCTGGGGGATGGGGAAAACAAGATATTGGTCAAAGTTTCAGTTACACAGGATGAATAAGTTTTGGAGACCTAATGTATAGCATAGTAACTATAGTTAATAATACTGTATTGTACACTTGAAACTTGCTGATCTTTAAGTGCTGTCACCATACACACACAAAAAAACACAGCTATGTGAGATGATGGATATGTTAATTAGCTTGATTATGGTAATTATTTTACAATGTACACATATATCAAAACATCGTGTTGTACACTGTAAATATATACAGCTTTTATTTGTGTATGCTTCAATAAAGCTGGCAAAGATTTTTAAATGAAATTTACAATATTTTATTCCCTTAAGGGCTGAGGCTGTACACATTATTTTTTTCTTTCTTTTGTTATATGTTTTAGAATTTCCCTAACTATTCTTCTTCAGCTGTTTTTCCACATAAATTTTAGAATTAGTTTGTTTAGTAAAAAAATAAATGCTCTGGTGCTATTTGGTGTTTTCATTGGTATCGTATTAAACTTATGAATAAACTTAAAAATAATTGTGTTTATTTTAATGTGTTTTCCTCTTCAAGAATATGTTTTATCTTTCACTTTGTTTAAGATTTCTTTTGTGTTGGCAGTGACTGTTTAAAAGTTTCCTTCCTATAAGTCTTGCACATTTCACGTTGTACACATTCTAGAAATATCATCTATTATGTTAATATTTTGAATTGAATAATTTCTTTCAGTATATAATATATGAAAATTATTGGTTTACAATATTGATTTTGCTCATTGAGGTCTCATAATATTCTTTTCCTTTTGTATTAGTATTTTAGTTGCTTCTCTTAAGTCTTGCAGGTATACGATTGTGTCATCTTCAAATGCAGATAGATTTATCAACGAGTTTATTTTTTTAATTATTTTCGGATGTGCATCATATTTCGAATTCTGTGTACATTACATCATGTTCACCACCCGAAAACTAATTATAGTCCATCCCCTCACATGTGAGCCTAATCACCCCTTTTGCCCTACCCCCCCCTTCCCCTATGGTAACTACCAATCCAATCTCCAATGCTATGTGTTTTTTTGTCATTGTTTCTATCTTCTACTTATGAGTGAGATCATATGGTATCTGACTTTCTCCCTCTGACTTATTTCACTCAGCATAATACCCTCAAGTTCCATCCATGTTGTCACAAATGGCCGGATTTCATCGTTTCTTATGGCTGAGTAGCATTCCATCAAGTATAAATACCACATCTTCTTTATCCATTCGTCCCTTGATGGGCACGTAGGTTGCTTCCATGTCTTGGCTATTGTGTATTATGCTGCAATGAATATAGGGGTGCAAGTATCTTTATGCCTTTGTGTTTTCAAGCTCTTTGGATAAATACCCAGCAGTGGGATAGCTGGATCATATGGTAGATCTATCCTTAATTTTCTGAGGATAGACTAGTTTATTTTTTCTTCTAATTTTTTTATTGTGTTGACTAGTACCAAAATAAAATATCTAATAATGAGAGTGGGCATTTGTCATTAATTTTTCACATTAATAGAAATGTCTCCAAATGTTTCCCCAGGAAGCACGATGGCTTTGGGGCTGGGACTGATATATTTTATAGCATGAAATAAATATCTATAGATTCATGTTTTGCTTATTGTTTTTATCCACAATGTTGTTAAATTTTCAGTTCCTATAGAGGTGATATGTGATTTTTCTTATAAATATTAATATTTTAAATTATATTAATATTGAAAAGTTCTTGAATTCCTGAAAAAAATAGCTTACCTATTCATGAGGACTATCTTTTTAATAAGCTGTCGGGTTGTGTATATTAATATTACATTAAGAATTTTCACATAACTAACCATAAATAAATTGCTCTAGCATTTCCTTCTGATACAGTTATAGTCAGGTTTTTGTATCAAGGTTATACTCAGTTGTGCAAGAGTTAGAAATATTTCTTCCCTGCAGTAGTTTGTATTTTGTGTAAGCTTTCAGTTAATACAAAAACTCAATTTTCTACAATACTACATCTTTTAAAATTTTCTTTCTTTTTTTCTTCTTTTTCTTAAAGATTGGCCCTCAGCTAACATCTGTTGCCAATCCTTTTTTTTTCCCTTCTCCCTAAAGTCCCCCTGGTACATAGTTGTAAATTCTAGTTGTAAGTCCTTCCAGTTCTGCTATGTGGGACGCCACCTCAGCATGGCTTGATGAGCAGTGCTAGGTCTGTGCCCAGGATCAGAACAGGCAACACCCTGGGCCACTGAGGTGGAGCATCCGAACTTAACCACTCGGCCACAAGGCCAGCGCCTAATTTTCTAATTAATAGATGTTTAATGTAACTTAACTGGCAATCAAAATGCTTGAGATTTTCCAGTAGAGTTCAAACCTTTTTCAAAGCTTGACATTTACCTTTCCAAGTAGCATGATGAGAATATTCATGAGAACTCATCCTCTTTTTACATACACTATAACTTAATTGCCAAAGAAAGGAATGGGGGAAATACATGCATTCGCTTAATATTCATCATGATAGATAGCAAAGGAAGAGGGAGTTTAATAATTGAATGAGAACATAAAAGAGAATAGCTCTGAACTGCATCACTGAAAACAGAGTAGATATTTCTATCAAGTTGTCTAATCAGTGAGTTGAAAGTTAACTTATTCAAAAAATCGTTTCCTTTCCTTCAAGTTTTAACCAATCAGAGCACATAATATATGTACTGTATGTCCCCTGCAGTTTGGGAACACAGTGAATTATTGACTAACTTCCTCTTGAAAAACCTGTAGGGTGTGCCATACGCAAAGTAATTATGTTCACAGAGAATTTAGATCAGCCTTTTCTCTGTGGTTTGACCAAAGAATGAGTAAGTTTTGTGGTGACACATTTGAGAGAGAACTGGTATGGAATCGTCTTAAGAGAAGATCAAGATGAGAGAAGCAGCCAACCACACTCCATTTATGTATCTTCAGTGTTCCTGCACATGGGAGAAATGTGTGGCCACAATTTCAAATATGTTTAGGTATTTATTACTCATATTTAGAAACTTTAATTTCTGAGTCTCACTCTGTTTCACCCAAGAATGATCAAAAAATTTTGAAACTGCATGAATTTTAATCCAACAAGGGGGAAGAACCAGTTTCAATGAGCAAATTTAGATGGAGGAGTTTCATGATACTGAAAGGGACAGTGGGTTTTATGATTGTATTCATGGATCCTAACTGTTTAATTTTCCAGTTAGAACATTTGACATCTGCACAATTTTGTTCATTTGTTATGAGCTGGACATTTAAAAACAAAGCAAACAAACAAAAACACTGTTTCATATATATTTGTGGGGTTTTTTTAATGCTGCTGACAGGAATTTATTCTTCCATTAAATAAGACTATAGCATTCTGAATTTTCTATTTAGAGCTGCAATTCTATCCAAGATTTATGTTAATTAAGATTTTTTGTTGTTATTTACATCAAAAACAAGACTTCTATGAAGAGAAGAAAAATTGCTCAGGGAAAAAAAATTAAAGCTCTTCAAAATAGTTGCATTTGAAAATTTAAAAGGCAGATATTATCCCTTTACACTGATGGATGCCACAGAAGGTGCTAATCTACACAGGCTCCTCCCTAGACAACATGTATATATATACACATATACATATGAAACAAAGTATTTCAAACTATTTGTTTCAGATAAACAAACAAAAGTACTCTTTCATCTACATACATAACTTTGAGTTTGCCTTTTGGGTTTTCCAGGCAGTCCTTCTATAACCAATTGATTTTAATATTTCCCTGGATACCAATCCCCAAATTGCCCAAGTACCCGAAAATGCTATTGAACAGTGTGTTCCTGCCCTGGCAATATACTGATTTTTTGGCATGGTGTGGCAAATACTGATTTTGGGGCTATGAGAGGCCATTTGTACTCTATACAGACTTAACTTGCTCAGATACACATCTTTACCAAGGAAAGGATGGAAGCAACTAACTTTATAGGATGCGATGCTTATACATCAGAATACGCTTATTTCTATATAAAAGCAGACTTCAGTAATGAGAAATAAAAATCTCTGTTTCGTGTTATTTATGGAGCTGCTTCTAGCCATGCAAGTGTCCAAGAATGAGAAAACACATCTAATCCATTGTGTCTTCTGGCTAGGAAAACAGCGACCATTGGAGTCAGCAGCAAGTTACTGAGAAGAAATCAATCCATTGGGGGTGGTGGGGACAGATAGGATAATTCAGATCATATGGCCACAATGTCCAAGCACTTGAGTTTTAGCAGGGAACTGATGCCAATGAGAACTACTGATACGATGCACAGCCAAACCCTACATTGAACATTTTATTGAGGGGACTTAGATGGAGCTGTTTCCTGATCTATTCCATTTTTAAAAAATCAGTAGTTTTGCTGAATCAACATGGGTGGAGCAAGATGGATGGGGTTATAGAAAAGAGTTTTGAATATTTCAAAACAATGAGGCAAACAATACTCCCATACATGTTGGCATAGTGCCACTGGTTCTGCATCTTTGTAAAGCACTCTCAACATTACCTATCACCATTTCAAGGGATGTATTCTTTGACTCAGAAAATATACTTCTTAGAATATAAACTGTGGATGCAATCACACATATTCATGAAGAAATAAGTTTAAGAACATTCATTCCAGCATTTTTATAAAAGCAAAAGATTAAAAAAACCCTAAATGTCATTTAGTAAAGCTGAATAAATTATGGTAATTCATGAAAGAGAATACAATCATGTGGCCACAGGGGAAAAAAGGAGACAGCTCACTATGCACTGATATAGGACAAGCTTTAAAATATTTCATTAAATCAAAAAAGGAGGGGGAAACTGAACTTAATGTAGCACCACTTATATGAAAACAACAAAATGCGACCAATATAAACATATTGCTCTACAGGCAGTGTATAGTCTATCTCTGCAAGGAATCCCAAAGAGCAGCCTACAGTGCCCTGGTCAGAGCAACTCAGAGACCAAGAAACTAACCTGGAAGAGAGGGAGAGACAGGAAGGCAGAAAGGTGAGTGGAACACATTCTGGAGGGGGCCTGCAAGCATCAAGTCCTGTCTGACTGGTGAGATCTGAGATGTTGTTCCTTTAGGTAAACACCTAGAGAAGAGAGCCTTTAGTCAGCCATGTGCTTTTTGTTTACAATAGATGTATATTTTTACAATAGACATACATTTTGTTTAAATAGGCATATATTTAGTCTGATTACCTTCTCTTTTCACCAGGATTATAAAGAGCTCTTTGAAGTATACATCCTTTCAGCCATCTTTCGTAGTAAGAAGCAAAAGAAAAATTGTCCGAGCACAGTTTTTTTTCAATAGCATTCTTTATCTATGTTCACTGCACTCTTGCTGGGTACTTATCTCAGTTTGACAGAACACACATCTGGTGGATGGTGTGGTGCTTACTCACTGACAGAAATTGAGAAGAGAACTGTTTTATGGTTTGCCCTGACACCAGACCCTTTCTGAGGTCTCAACATGATAATTAAAGTTAATATTCTCTGATTCTTCTTTAGCCTCTCAAAGTTGACCAGACTGATATTCAAAGAAAATTAGTGTCTCAAGGGTGATGTAAATAAACATTACAATTGCTATGATAAATGCAATTATCTAACTTTACTGAATTTGTCACTAGAGCCACTATTGATTCCTTTGATATGATCCAATATTGGAAAGCCCCTCTTTTTTCAAAAGCTGTTTCCTTACCACACAAGACAGGTTGCATGACTGACTCAAACTTTGAAGTGATATTTGCTTCAATTTCCAGGTGGATGGACAGTTTGAAAATGCGGTATCTCACTCATCAGTATTCCCTTCATTTTCCCCATGGATAGAACATGAGTCTTCATTGGTTAGTGTTATGTTGATCTCCCTCCTGCAATCTTTCGATCTACCCCATCGACAGGCTTTTCTAAATCTAGGGAATGGCTAAATGTAATGCATGTTGGATTGGATGGACTGAGCTGACCACCAGAATTCAGGGTGCAATGCTTAGGTTTAGCATACACATTTCTGGCCTCCTTTTGTGCATTGCGGTTCTAACGACAGGTCAATCTTTGGAGACTTCACACTGTTATTTGGTCTGCTTGGTTTAGGCAGTACTGCTAGTGTTCCCACTGTTCCCTGCTGCTGCTCCCTAAGGAGGGAGAAAGGGTTTCCCCAGTTTTGGCCACCTGGTATATCTTGCTGGAGGATGTCTCTGGCCTGCAGGGATGAAGAAATTTCCCTGGCTGGATGCATGTTGTGCCAGAATGACTCCTGTCGGAGACTGAGTGGTCCCCAGACTGCTTGTTGTGTTGTGATGTGATCTACCTACAGGTGCCCCCACCTTAACCCCTCCCCATCAGCTTCCTTGGTGTTTCTAAACCAGGTAAAGAAGTCAGGACCAGGACCAGGAAGGAAAGAGAGTACTTATTGCTACTGGAACTCCAGAACAGTCTCCCTTGTTGGTTCTGCCAGGTCTAACCGACATTTTAGGTATGGCTCCCATTCAGTCCAAGAGAGGAATGAGCCTACCTGGACTGCCTTCTATTTCTAGTTTGTGTGTTGGGAAACACCTGGACTGAATCTTGATTGGAGGATGTAAGATAACTTGGTGCTGTGTTCCTCTAATCCTGGGATCCCAAACCAGTTTGCTTTCTTCCTAAGGCCTTTCAGAGATCTTTTATTGTCTCTTTCACTGTTTCTAGAGTTTTTAGTGTATTTGGCAGTGAGAATCAGAGAGAAATGGGTCCCTGCCATCTTGTCCTGCAACTGAGGTTTCAACAAATGCTAAACTACACAATAAGTTTTATGGTTTTCTCCTATAGATGCTCCTGAGACTCCTTCTCTGGAATGCAATTGCGTGGAGTGCTAAAAATAAACTTCCAAAGATATTGGATATTACAGTATTATTGACATTCCTTGTCTATAAAAGACCATATTCTAGGAAATTCTAGAAAATTCAAGTTTATAGCCTAGCGGAAAGTAAACAGAGATAACAGCCTCTCTGATTACCATCAAGAGAACAGTTATTGGATTTCTTAACTCCCGTAAATTAAAATATACCCATTTAGTCTGAACCCCTGAGACAGTTTCTTGATAAGATGAATAGTATTTGCCTGAAAATTTACATCACTGTAGTAAAGACAGAGACAGTCTATTCAAGTGGTTAATAATACTTAGATGATCTTTTAACGTTTTTAATCCTTTAGAATCATAAATTATTTCTTAATATTCAACCTAATTTCCTAATCCCTTAATGAAAGGATAGTTTTTCTGTCTAGACATTTTTCAACCAAGTGAATAGTCAATAAAGTATAGTCAATTAATTACTAAAAGTGTTAATTTTATCATGAGCCCTGTTTAGAAATCTACATACTCAAAGGAAATTATTCAGTATAAAAATGGACAAAAGGTGTGATTTGTTTCAAAATATTTATCTTTGAGACAGCTGAAAATGTTTTACTTTTTTGCAAATGAGCCAGGGTATTTTTTCATAGTCAGCTTTTCATCCTGTCATTTTCATCTACTTCAAGCAGAAGGTGCTAGTATTGTTTTACATAACACACCAGAAAGTTTAAGATAAATGTGATAGAGAGACGCACAGGAGGCTGACATAGTTTCTAAAAGAAGAAACTATAAAGACACTGGCTTCCATGTGGAGTTACTGAAATAAAGATACTAGGTGTGATAATAAAAAATATTGCAAACGTGTCAAGAAAATTTTAGTACTCTTTTCACACCTGAACCTAGACTACTACAAAATTGAATTTAGGAAACAGCAATATTAAAAAACAATTTAAAAAGTAACCCTATAAAATGGTCTAAATTAAATTTGGTAAATTTCATCCTATTCTCCATAATTAAATAACTCAATGTCTACATATTCTATATTTCCCTTTAACTTCTCTATTTCTAGACAGCTTTAACCTGGCATGTTCCATCATCATGACTAATTCTGTTCAAATGTTTAGCTCACAAGACCTCAGGGAAGGGGAAATAAATTCATATTTAATGATCAGCTACTTTGTACCAGAGATGGAACTCCCTACTTTATTTCTCCTCCTTTCCCTTCTTTATTATTATTCATATTTCACAGGTGATAACAGTGACTCTCAGAGAGATTAAATAATTACTCACTGACCTCACAACTAAAAGAGAGGATGTCAGATGAAAATCTAGTCTTATCTCTTTCTAAGACCATGCTTTGTCCATTAAGCCATGCTCCTTTCCGTTACATTTGAACCCAAATCACATCATTAACTATTTTCTTGGTCCTTACAATTATTTTCTGGTCCAATTAACTGTTAGGTAATAAGCAATTAAGTATTTGTGGGATTTCCCTGTTAATAAGTGGTATTTACTCATGATAGAATCTGAGATTATTACATAGTTGTTTTCCCTTTAGATATTCATTTAAGAAACATTTATTAATCTCGTTTCAAATCACAGACATCATGTTGGGGATATAATGGGAAATAAATATTAGCCCTGGCCCAAAAGATTTCATTATGTAAAATCAAATATAAATTTATTGACAAATAATGATATTATTCAAGAAGAGCTCTAATTAAGAGATACAAGAAATGTTATTTGAACACTAAGAAAGAAAAAATTATTATTATTTCTGGGTAGGTAGATATGATATCATGGAGAAGAACATTTGGGTTGAGATTTGAAAGATGAATATGCATAGAATATAGGGAAAGGACTGTCCAGGCAGATGGGGAAACACTAGCAAAGATAAAAATTAAATTACATGATGTCTTCCAGACACAGTAAGTGGCTTGTTGCTCCTAGGACCGGTTGCTCCTAGGGCCGGGGAAGCATGAGAGAAAGTGAAAGAGGAGAGACTAGGGAAATAAGTTGTGGACAGATTATAAAGGGCTTTGTGTGTGTCTGATGAATTATGATGACCTTAGAAGGAGGTTTTGAAAGATTTTAAGCAGAAGGGTGTCACAATCATATGCATAGCTCCTACTCTCATACATAGTGGTTCACATACTAGGTGTTAGGATATTTGTCATCACATTGCAATGTTTTTATGTTTACAATAAGTTAGCAAACATTTTCCCTTACAAAATAAATTTGTGAGATGACAAGGATCCCTTTAAGTCCTTTTCTCCCTCTAATGCTCTCAGATCTGCTTTCTTATGTAGGAGAGGAAGAGATTAGTTAACTAGGTGTTGCACATGACTAGCAATGAATTTTGTCAAATCCACTTGTATTATTTGGGGTCTCATGGGTACATGACCAAAATATCACAATGGGAAAAAGAAAAATATAACCAGTCTAGTAGAATAGTGAAGGCATGAAACAGTAAATCAGAAATAACCAATGATTTTCATTAATAAATATGATTTTCTGTTCTTTAAATTTATTTGTCCTCCAGTTGTGAAGTCCTCCATCTCCAAGGAAGCAAGAGAAGCCAGCCCTTCAGGGCTGAAGCAGGGAACAAAGCTGTCAAGTCCTTGGCTCTTGCCACTGGCATAGCAAATGCCGTTTGACTCTGGTGTCATGGAGCTACTTGGCAGTCACTCAAGTCCGCAGACTGCCCAGTCTCCATTTGTAGATTTCCCTTGAACACCCTACACTGCCTGTGTCCAGAATATGTATAAATTTTCCTTCCCATGCCTTCAGTGTAGGACAATCCTCTCTACTGTCAGTAGACAACCATTCTGGATCTGAGACACTGCTAAGTTCCCCTATTTGGCCACTCCAGATCAACTGTCTATACCCTCCTCTACCCTGCCTCCAGCCTCGATAAAAAATAGGATCTTGGACTCATATCAACAAACTGATGGTGTGAAAGTTGTCACTTGGAGTTGTCTGAGGTGATGCTGGACAAAACAAGTTCAAAATCTTTTACCGAGCCCAGACAAAGTAGAACACCCCCTTATCACCACTCTCCCAGATGCTACAACTATTTAAAACTACTTTTTATATGACTGGGAGGTCCTCTTTGCTTCTGAGCTTTCAATTCCATAGCATGCATATGACTGCTTGGTCTGTCATAGCTTGGATCTGTTTTACGGTGGAGAGAGTGAACAATGGTGGTACTTGAAGGGGCATTTTCCTCTATTTTCAAGTCTATGTATATTTTATTAGCATTTTTACAAGTAAATAGTTAGTAATTAGCAGGTAAAACTTCGGAGGGAAGCTGCAAGGTCCATTAGGTACATTACAGAAATCAATTTTCTGATAGAGTAAGTGATTGGTTGGTTATGGCACATTGATTGCTAGAAAGTTTCTCAAGACAAATGTGAAAGTTATTTACATTAGTGCTGTTTTAACGATGCTGCATAAATAAAGGCATTCATTTTGGAGCAATGAGGTGGAATAAAC